CCTTGCCCCTCTGCTCTGTACCCCTCCTTATTTACAAGCACTTTGTCTCCACTTTCCCTTCCTCTCTGTTTTCCCTTCCTTCCTTTCCTCTTCCCCCTTCCTAGTGCTTTCCCTTCGAGTGTTTCCAAACAGCCCGAATGCTCAGCACCTGATGAATGCATGAAGACGGGAGACACATGCATGCAGAGAGCTACTGAGAGCTACTTAGTCATAAGGAAAAATGAACAAGGCCTTTCCAGGTAAGGGGACGCACGGGGGGGGGGGGCTTATTCTTAAGTGAAATAAATTGCACACATGTGCATAAGTACTGCATCTTTTCTGTAGTGTGAGAAACCAAAAGCGTAAACAGGAACGAAAATATGTAATAGCTATGTAAACCCCCTGAGGCTGGAGACTGCCAGTGTCCGCCCGTCCTTCCCGAGCAGCAGCCCTTGCCTCTTGTGATTGTCCTCCCAACCTGCTGCCTTCACATTTTCCTCCTTGGACACAGTTGAGGGCATTGGCTCACGTCTCCCCCAGAACACAGCACAACCAAACCCCACAGACTCGAGTCCCGTCTGGACAGCGGTGTGGCACTGAAGGTGGCTTACATTCTCCTGTACATGTTAGTTTAAAATTTTTATTGTAATTATTTTACTGGTATAGGTTTGTGGCCAGCACTAAATGCAGCCATCGTGAGGAATCGCAGCTCTCCTCCTCCCCCTCCCTCCGGCTCTCCCTCTCCCCACTGCCCTCTCCCGCCTCAGGCCCTTCCTCATCCAGCGTGTGAATGCTGCGAGACGTCCTTACATACATTGTCAGGGAAGTGAGACAAGAAGAGAAAGTTACGTTTTCAGTACAAATACAATTTCCGTTTTGGTCGTGTGGGCTGACTTGGTTAAGCAGCCTGCAGATCTGGAGGCCCAGCAGGGTCAGGCTTTGGGGCTCAGGCCTGTTTCGGCTCTACGGATGTGTGGGAGGTCTGTCGCAGTGCAGGGGCTGGGGCGCACGGCGGTCTCCACCTCCCCTCCACCCACCGGCCTGGCTTCCTGAGGGGATGGTCGGGCCAGCCGGGACTCTGCAGGGAGCCGGCCCCAGAGCGCGTGGAGGCTGTGCCAGGGCTCGGCTGCCCTGGGGCTGCCCTCGCGCCACGCCGCTCCCGACAGCCCCACAACCCACAGTCGTGTGCTCTCAAGCCAAGGTGGGGCGGCCTGTACACCTCTCGCCACCAATAAGACAAGGGAAGCGGTGCCTTGGCGCCTTCACTGGTGACCCAAGTGGCCCTTGGCGCCATCACTGGTGACCCAGTCCTTCCTACCATGAGCAGCAACATAGAAGTGCGGCTGCGGCTCCAGGCTGCACTGGGGTTGTCGTGGCTTGGGGTTTTGCAAGGGACAGTGCAGCCCAACACAACATAGGACACACAGTTTATGGAATTATTTTCTAATGGTCACTCAAAGAATCATACAAAGACAGTGCAGGAAACCTGTCCACACACCAAAGACCAAAGACTCTGGCTGGGGGCCTAGATCCTAATATCCTGCATGAGTCCAGCTGAAGACCTAGAGCTCGTAACTCTGCCTCCCACAAGTCTACCTGGAGGCCTAGAGCCCAGGGCGATGTCTCCTTCAGGCCTGGTTCATCTGGATCTACTTTGGGAAGGCCCAAAGGTCAGCGGTGGGAGCTAGGAATTCTGCGCCAGCAGGAAGAAGGACCTGTGCCAGCAGGCTGGGCAGTCTGCACTGGGGCCAGGTAGCGATGTCAGGGTAAGCACCAGAGCTCCCCCAAAAGTACCACAGCTGTCCTCAGCAGCAGTGAGGTCCTGAGCTCCTCTGAGGATGTGGAAAGCTGACACCCATCAGGAAAGTCAATGGGACAAGCTTCTCCAGGAGATTTAGCTGTGCACCACCTTCCCCTCTGGGCCTGGGAAGCGATGCTCAAGGTGAGGACCAGAGATCCCCCAGGTGAACTAGAGCCATTCTTAGCGACAATGAGGTCCTGGTCTCCTCTGACGAGAACAGCCAGGTTCATCAGGAAAGCCAGCATGCCAAGGTCACCCAGCAGAACAGCCCAGGAGAACCAGCAGCTTCCAACAGCTCCTACAGCTTCTCCGAACAGCTTCCCTCCCACCTCCCAGCAGCTTCTCCAGTTCTGCCTCCTGTGTGGTGGCAACAGCCCTCCAGTGGGCCTCCTGCGCCCAGCACCATGGTGGTTCAATTCAGTTGACCACCAGCTGGCATCCACCCCAGCGGGGGACGAAGGGTGCAGGGGAAAGGAAAGGCAGAACAACTTCCTGCCCGAAAGTCATTGCCCTGCAACATCTCTGTAGACAGACAAAGGACTTCTCTGCCCTCCAGGAAGATGGGAGACTGGAGAGGACTCACCCCCAGGACTTTCGGCTCTCCACGCAGGAAGTCAAACAAAGAGCTGTGAGGCGTGTAGGGAAGGCCCGCCAACACGTGCGCATTTGGGTGGATGGTGGCGATGCGGGTCCCTCTCTCCTCCTGGGGTGCTGACTGCATGACTTGGTGTCGGAGCTCTATTAAGAGAAGGAGGGAGGTGGCACTGCAGGCAAAACCATGATCTGTCTCTCCCAGTGTCACATGGAGCCCTTTGCAATGCCCCTAGTGATGTCTCCCCAGCGCCAGAACCCAGAACCTCAGCCGCTGAGTCACAGAACCCAGGGGTTCTAGAGCACTGCAAGCCTCCTGTCCCCAGAGAAGGAAGTCACGCAGAGGGCCGCAAGCCTTGTGCCTGCGAAGCTGCCGCAGTCTGCCCGGCCACCTTCCTTCACAATGCAGCAATGTTAATAGCGAGCCGAGGCGACCTCGCCATCTTCACTTAGCAGAATCATTTTCTTTTTCCAGATTCAACAAACGTTTACTGAGTCCCTTACACAGTTCCGAGTCTTTTACTTTATATTTTGACACATTTTATATCATTTAGTCTTTAACAGCAACCCTCTAAGCAATTATCTGCATTTTACAGATGCGAAAAAAATCACTAAGAGGTTCACTGATTTGCTCAAGTATACCGCACAGCTTGCTCAGAGCTTGATTTGCTCAAGTATACCGCACAGCTTG